AACACATTATGCCAGTCGTATCTAATATGTTTCAACATTGCATAGTACTATATGTCTGATTGTATACTGCAGTAATTTGGGAAGATGCAAGTGATTCTCGTTGGGTCACCCAAGTGAGATAGGATTGAAAATGTTGGTTTACATCCCACAAGTTAGATTGATGAGTTAAGTACCGAGATACGCGACTGACGGCAACGAGAATGCAACGTTGTCAAAGCAGGCGTGGATAAATATGGAGGAATGCCTACAAAGGAATATATGGCCTAATACAGCATGTTCACTCATAAATATAGAAATACTACCATATGCCCCTCTCGCAATCGCAATCAAATGTATCTCCCCTTGCAGGCCATGATTATAGAAATACTCCCAAGTGCCCCCTCGCAGTCATAATCTCATGTGCCCCCCCTCGCAGGCCATGATGATGAGAGGAGTTTGGTATATTATCTAATTTATGTATTTTATTTTTTATCGACTTAATATGCATTCAAAGTAATTTTCTATTTTGTTTTCCATTGTCTACTTGCAGCGATTAACCTGTATAAGGATGCTACAAGTTGTACTTAGGGGTGAAGTAGTAGCAAGACAATCAATACATTATGTATAGGTAACCCATGATTTGCTATTGCAGGACACTCCTTTGGAGACAAATGTCGAAGAGTGGGTGGAGGGAGATGGTGGAAGCGAGAGAGAGGAGAGAGATGGTGGAGATGATAAAAGTGAGAGCGAGGAGAGAGATGGTGGAGATGACGAAAGCGAGAGCGAGGAGGCAGGTAGTAGAGATAAAGAAAGCGAGATTGAGGAGGGAGATGGTGGAGATAATGAAAGAGAGAACGAGACCGATAAAAAAAATGAGAAGAGAACAAAGAGCAGACAAGAGCAAAAACATCCAAATTCAAGTTGTGTCGGTCTTGCATGAGGAATCAAGACGGAATTTACGATCACAAAAAGAGGGAGATGTCTAGGCAGAAAGGACTAGGGAGGAACCTGATGTAGAGGGAAAAGGTATTGCAAGCTAGCAAAAAAAATGGCTAAAACGAAGAAAGTGATTGACATGTATTTTTTAGATGATATTCGAATATGTAATTTGAAAAGTGACTAATGCAAGTTGCAAAGGCTATGAACCTTATTTTGAGTTGTATTTTTCAATTGATATGTATTTTTGAGTTTGATATATATGTTTGAAACCTATGTTAAGTAGTGAGTGTCTAAGAGTGAAATGTCCATTCTTTTTGTAGAATTGAAGCCACTCTATTATAACAGCCAGCTTATGAAATGTCTCATTCCAATAGATTTTTGAACTTTGAAGTGGCCAGTCTTCTTCTTACTGTTGGAATTGTTGAATGTTAGTTGTGTAGCTGAGACACTTTCCCAAGGTTTCTTTTGCCCTTACAATCACTTTTAGACATTAGTTGTCAAAGACATCAGTCCTCAAATTTGATGGCTCCCTGGTGTCACAAATTCGAGAAAATGTTATTTTGAAATTTAGTCAATGCCAAACTTACAACTACTCAACTTAATATCCACATCATTGTTAGAAAACCCAGGCGATCTAACCGCTAACCACCCAGTTAGATCGAAACCAGTTAGTGACCGGTTTCGATTTTGGGTGGTTTTGATGATCAATCGGTATTTTAAAAAAAGAAATTCAAAAGAATGTATATAAATTCTCAAAAATAAGGAATTTGGTTTGTAATGTATTTTTAATATTCTTTATATTATATTAAAGATTAAAATTTGTTTTTGTCGTTAATATTCACTTTAATTCAAAAATCGATTCATTAAAATCTATTTTTTTGTTAATTTTCAACTTTATTTTAATATGTTTTGTTTTAATCATTCTTTATATCCTTTTCATATTTTACTAGATTTTGTTTGTATCTTTTTAATTTTTTCAGCACTTTTTTGACCATTCGAGACTTGACCAGTTATAGTTGAATTGGCCGGTTTATCGGTTAGACAGGTTAAACTGCTTCTGAGCCCATATCTGGTTAACCATTCCGATTTGATTTTACGAACACTGATCCACATACAGTAATTCGTGATCTCGTTGTACTAAAAATAAATGATTTCCTTATATATTTTTACCGCTGGTGGAAGCAGATAGGCAAGATAATCTGGCAGGACTAGAAATCCTTTTGGCGCACAAATATAACATCCATACCATCCACAAAAAAGAATCATTCCCACCCTAAATCAAGCGGCTGTGGTTTGTGGCACACAAATAATAGTATAGTACCCCACCGCCACCTCATTTCCCACTTGGAAGAGTAAGTATTTGGCTACCAATTCCCCGATGACCACTAGTATCTCAACACCTGTCCAAAAAAAACCAAAAAACTCATATGGTCCCCACGCGAGACTACCTAGGACAGGTACAGTTCGAGAGAGAGAGTGAAGAGGAGAGAGAGAGATGTACGTGGTGGTGATTAATGCGGTTTCTCGTGGTGAGCGATTGGAATTTGAATATGTACATGTGGATGTGGAGTAAACAGTAAAATCAGCCATAAATCAGCCATTACAACTATGCTGTTACACATGTTATTTATTTACAGCCCTTGCACAGTGAAAGAGAGAGAAGAAAGAGAGCTATGAAGCTTAGAGAGAGAAAACACAGAGAATTCTGTTACCTGTGTGTCATGTCAGCTTCTGTGCTCAAAACAATGGAGCAAAGCGTGTCCTCTGCTGAGAGAAAGAGAGAGAGAGAGAGAGAGAGGAGAATTCTGATACATGTGTTGACGTTTGAACTTAGAACAAAGAAATTCCTTTTCACAAAAATCATGACTGCACTGTTCTAACTTGGCACTGCTAATGAATGTGTAGACTCGGGCGAGTCAACTCAGATTCGTCACCGTGGTGAGAGTATTTTTTAATTGGGTTGTTTTGGGGATCCTAAAAGAAATTTAAATATAAAAAAACCTAAACGAAAAGAAATTTATTTATAATATTTATTTCTTTTCTATAGTTTGGGCAGAGATTGAGTGTTTTTATAAGGAATACTTATTTTTACATTTTTTCTTCTTTTTTTATTATTTTAAAATGTTTTGTTAGTAAAACCATTTGGTGGTGTGGATCCTTAAAGTGCTCAACATTTTTAGACATTAAAATACTTTTGAATTGTAATACAAAATTTTTCAAGTATTTTTTGTCATTTAGAAGGGTAGAATAGATATTTTTATAAGAAAAATAGCGGCATTCTATTACTAGTTAAAACAATTAATGCATCTTATGGGTGATGACACACACATCATATCGATGATGTCATTGTCCACTATTGTTAATAAATGATTTTATTTTTACTAATAATTTCTAGTTTACTCTTGACTAATTACTTAAAATACCCCTAAACAAAAAGTTACTATACTATAGAATAAGGGTATCTAAATGTCTAAAAATATTGAGCACTTTAAGGGTCTACATCACAAGTGGTTTAGCCTAACTAAACCCATTTTTAAATGGGACTTACAAAAAGGCTATTTATATTTTATATATGGAGGTTATTTTTTTGATGTCAAAATGGATGGCTTAGGGTGAGTAACAAAATTGGAGAAATTTTTTTAGAACTCTACATCTATTCAATGATATTCTTACAACTACCCGTTTTGAAATTTAAAAGACAACAATGATTGTGACTTTCATGTATAAAAAATAAATGGTAGACAGTCCTTTCACTGCTTTTTTAGATCTATTTTATTTAAAAACATGGTTTCTATGCAGCTAGCCCACATATTGTAGTTATACTGGCTTGGCAATACATATATTTTTTAAATAAAATTTTATCTTAATTTTTAGAGAATATATAATCTTTAACATGGAGATCATGAATATGAAAAAAATAAATTGAAAACTAAAAATAATAATCATATTAAGAAAATATTTGGACTATTAGTTACAATTGATTTTAGATGGACCACCTATTTGCATCCATCGATGAATGCTTTATTCCTATGGCCTGCATATTGTAGAAATGTGGTCCAGCCCATGAAACAATTTTCCTTTAATTAAATGTATTTTACACAAATTTTTCCTATTTTTGAAATCACGTTTTGTTTTTTATTACTTTTTAGCTTGGCAGGACTCAGCCCGAGTCACTTGGCTTGGGTATGGGCCAGACACGGGCCGAGTGACTCAGACTCATCCCGCGTCTCTCAACTCGCGCATGGGCCGAGTTTCATCCCCGACTCTGCTAAATTAGCACTACTAATGAAACAAACCACCGAAGCAAAACCCAGACTAAATGTGGATGGTGCAACACCATAAACATCCATTAATGGCTACCAACTCAACACACGTTCCCATTTCGTAAAAACATAACCCATTAAAGAATTCCCCATTTTTATAAACAAGAAAGAAGACCAACATAGGGAAATTATTTCAATTAATGCAATAAACAATTTAGAATTTCACATTGTTCATTGATTAGGTCAGAAGGAGGTTATCTCAAAACAATCAAAAATTAGAAAGATAACAAAATCAAGGAATCAATGAAGCAAACATTAGCTTTGTTAAACTTTGAAGAAACTATCTTAGGAGAGAGAAGAATAAAGAAACGAGCATTGAATGAGAACAGCCTAATAACGTAGCCATTTAAAAAAATGTTTCCTTCTCCACCTGCAAATTTAGGTAGTTTAGATCTGTCATGCCATTTTTGGAATGCATTTGCAAGCTGTAAACTGTTGCAGAGAGAGAGGAGAGAGAGAGAGAGAGAGAGAGAGAGAGAGAGAGAGAGAGAGTGTAGTAGTAGTGTATAGTAGTAGTCGTACGTTACGTTTACCTTACCGTACCTAACCCGTACCGTCTACTTACTTACTTACTTACGTACTAATAACTTA